CAAGTATCTATTCTCCTTGGGTTTGCTCCCAAAGGCATGCCCAGGTATTTACAGGGAAGGGAGGCAGTTTTACAATTCAGCAACCATGACATTTTCCTCGTCCATTCTTCATCAGTATTGACTCCAATTAGAGAGCTTTTTCTGTAATTTACCTTCAAGCCTGACACCAATTCAAATGCCCTCATGATGCATTTAATCATCCATATGTTGTCTTCGGTTGCCTCTCCCATAAAGATTGTGTCATCTGCGAATTGTAGATGGCTGATCTCTAACTCCCCGTCTCCTATTTTTACTCCACAGAAATAACCCTTTTCTACTGCTGTCGAAGTTAGTCCATTTAGAGCTTCTGCCACCATTAAGAACAGAAATGGAGATAGTGGATCTCCTTGTCGAAGCCCTCTTGACATTGAGAACTCTTTGGTAGCACTTCCATTAACTAACACGGATACAGTATTCGATCTTAAACATTCAGCAATCCACTCCCGCCATACTTTGTCGAAGCCCATTTTCTCCATCATGTAGTCCAAGAAAGACCAGCTCACCTTATCATATGCCTTCTCAAAGTCAATCTTGAATACAAAACACTGGGATTTTCTTTTCCTCACCTCATCAATTACCTCGTTTGCCACAACAACACTGTCAACCAGTTGTCTTCCTTCGATGAAAGCAGATTGACTCTCCCCTATAATTGTGTTTAGTACTCTACTGAGTCTGTTTGCTAACACTTTGGCAAGAATCTTATACATGCAGCCGATTAAGGAAATGGGTCTATACTCTTCTATGCCTTGAGGATTCTCTTTCTTCGGAATCAAAACCAGGAAAGAAGCATTAGAACCCCTTACCATCCTTCCATTTGTGTGAAAGTCCTTGAGGAAGACCATGATATCTGCTTTAATCACCTCCCATTCATTTTTTATAAAGCCAAAAGTAAAACCGTCCGGTCCCGGTGCTTTGGTGCTGTCACAATTCCATACCGCCTCTTTTACTTCTTTTTCTGTAAAAGGTTCAATGAGCATGCTTATGTCCTCCTCTGAAATAGATTTGAAGCTTAGCCCCTCTAAAGTCGGTCTTTGCCACCCCTCATCAGAGAATAAATTTGCAAAATACTTCATAACGCCCTGCTTTATGTCTTCAACTTGTCTCAGCTCTTCACCTTCAACCGAAATTACATTTATTTCGTTTCTGCGCCATCTCCCTCTGATGCATTTGTGGAAAAAACCAGTGTTAGCATCTCCTGATTTCAGCCAAGTTTTCCGAGCTTTCTGTTGAGCCATCTCTTCTTTCATCTGCATATTCTTTAGCAACTCAATGTAATGAGAGCTCCTGAAAATAACATCTTCATTTGACAGATTGCTTGTTTCTCCTTTGCCATCAACTCTGTTTATCTCCTCCCTGGATTGCTCAATTTTTCTGTCCACTTCCTGTATATTGGACTTTGACCACCCTCGGAGAAAGTCCTTTGTCATCTTCAGCTTCTCCTTTAAAATGAATCCTCCCCAGCCTTGAATTTCTAACTCCTTCCATTTTGCTGTAACCATGTCTGTGAAACCTGGGGTATGTAACCAAGCATTGAAGAATTTGAATGGTTTTGGCCCCCAATTGCTAGCCTCATTTTTAACTAATATCGGGCAATGGTCTGACAGAGATCTTTGAAGTCCCCACTGTTTTGTATCAGGCCATTTCAATATCCATTCATCATTGAATAAAAACCTATCTAGGCGACTCATGCATCGGCCATTTGGTTGATACCATGAATACTTCCTTCCCAGCAGAGGTAGATCCTGCAAGCCATTCTTCACAATAAACTCTGCAAAACCCTTTATGTCTCTCCTCGCATT